AACGCACTTACGCTCATGGATCAGTTGCAAATTTACTTACATCTCGGCAGTTGTCCGAGCCCTTTTCCTCGCTACTTCTCCCTTTGTTTGAATTTCATCCAAAAGTTTCGTAAATGTTTTTTTTTTTTTATTGAAATTATTGCCTCGTTAAAAATTTAACATTTCTTACATAGTCTATTAGCTAATGGTTATGTGCGTAGGTGTACATTATGTATGTATTTATGTATGTATGTTTGTATTGATGTGAATAATAATGCATGTATGGTAGTTAACAAAACTAAAAATAAAAACCGTTTTGAGTGGTCGAATGCTTTGCGCGACCAAAACTTGCCCCTATGTACATTCTAGGCTAATTCCATGGCGTAACCTTAGCAACAAATTTCGTATCTTTTTAAACTAATCAAAATTTTATAATGCTATATTTATAATCGCTTTTATCGTTTTACGATGGGCGTCCGGACAAAGAGTTTTCTGCGTTGAAGATTGATGGTTCGAAGACACATCCCAGACGATCCTCTTCTCTCATGATCTTCAAGCAAATCATTTCCATTTTTTGCTCTCTTTCTCTCTGTCTCTCTCTCTCTCTTTCCTCCCTTATATATATTAGCTAGTAAATATGTACGTAGGCTTATTAAAAATACATGTGCGTATGTATGTAACTCAATAAATTACTATGTGTTCAGTCTTGCGTGCTTACGAGTAATTGCATTTCCAGCTTAAACTACTTTATGAATATTAGCTCAAAAATTTCTTAAATTTCTAGCAAATCCCAATAGTTTGCTGCGAACGAGCGTTAATTAAGTGCAATCAAATCTTCTTTGAAGATCACTCTAGGCCATTTCGGATGGCTCGCGCTCGGCCTCCTCTGCCGAATGCTCTTCCTCGCCATGGCCGCTCGTTATTTGCTCGGTTGAGGCTGTTTTGCTGGAGCTCTCTTTCTGCTGACGCTCTGCTACAGTGGCGATCTTCATTGGCTTAATCGCCTCCAGGACGACTTCTCCCTCGCGTGCTGCGCCACTGACAGACGCAGTCTCCTCGGTATTCGACTCGATCGGTTGGCGCTTTGGCGACAACGAAGCCGACGACGAGGCCGACGATGGTGTCAGCGAAGTTCCGGCGGCCATTTCGGCGTCGAGCTCACAGAAAATCTCCAGCAAATTGTTGATGCCGATCAAGTAGCCATCCTCGTGATTGCCCACCGTCCAGGTGCTGCTGTGGTCGATCTGATGGTTCTCTGGCAGGCCGACGGTCTTGGCAAAGTCGATCAGCCATACGCTGGCCTGCTTGCGGTCGTGCACGAACAATAGCGAACTGCCGATAACTTCGTGTGTGCGAAAGAAGTCGGAGCATTCAAGTGTTGCACGAATGGCCTGCAAGCGCTGTATGTAACGGGGCTGGTAATAAGCGAGAAGAGACATAAATTAAAGCGTTAGGATAAAAAACGAACAAGGTGGATATAGCAGAAACCTACCATAGCATGCTGAAAACCATCGATGTACTCGCGGAAGGCCTGCTTGATTTGTTGGCGGGACTTGGTGGTCTTAAAATCCTTCGTGCTGGTGCCATCGCTCTTCTTAATGCCCTGAAAGATGAGAGAGAAGAATTAGCATAAGTCAAAAATCTGCGACTGCCGAGTGTGAGCTTACCTCAATGCGAAAACCGAGTGTTGCAGTGCTGGAGATGGTCTCACGCCAAACCATGTAGCGCGGCTTGGTCACACCCTTGGCCTTGTGCTCCTCCTCGCTGGGTGCATCCGGATCGATCTGTATCATTTTTTCATACATGTCCTTGCGCAACTTCGGTTTCTCCTTGGCCTTGGACAGCTCCTCCTCCAGATAGGTGCGCACGCCAATCTTGCAGTCCATCACGCAGGGTTGACAGAAATCACTCAGCAAGTCTTGCAACTGCAAGTATACTGTAAAAGAGAGCGAGATAGAGAGAAAACCATGATGAGTATTTGCTTCCAACTAAAGGACTGGGCTACAAATTGAAGTAGATCAAGCTAAGGAACTTTTATTTTTCTCGTTCATCTTCTTCCATTTGATTGCGTTCATTTTTCGTACATACTGCACTTACATTCACCATCCTCGCTGGTCACCTGCCCTTTATACTCCGGCACATAGGGGCGCAGTACATCCTGCATGAGCACGCGAAAGCAATCCTCCTCCTTCGGACAGAGCTTCTTCAGGACGGTGCCCTGCTCGGGACCGGCCTTGAAGTTTCCTTGATGACCGGCCAGTTGGACCCAGGGATAGCGCTGTTTCTTGTAGGTTTGAAAAAATGGCGTCCATTGCACGATGTTGCGTAGCTTGCGCCAACCAGAGGGCTGTATTGCAAAAAGTTGAAGAGAGATAATCAATAAAAAATAGTCTTGCAAGAAAGCGGGCAATAGAATATTTTATGCGCATAACATGCTATTGGCATACCAACGCGTGCCGTCATTCATCACTGCGCTGGAGGCCGCCCGACAAGAGCTGACAAATAAGCGGTGAATGATCTGTGACAGCAACTACCCTAATTGGCGCACTTGACAACGATCAGGTCGCGTTGAGCCCGCCTAGCACGCAAACGACGCTAAGCGCTGAGTAATTTTGGCGACGGTAATTTAACGCGCCATGCGGCATTTTTGGTAATTAAGTAAGTTAGGTGTGCGCCAGCAGCCGGCCGAAACAAGCCGATCGCGTTTATGCCAAATTAAACATTTTTAAGCAATTTCCTTACAAACGAGAAAAATGCGCAGCGTATACGAGTATTTGGAAAAAGAGCAGTTTGGTGTTTTTTTTTAGTATTTTCAACTATTTGGTATCTACATACATATCTACTTTTTTATCGAGATTTACAGTACTGTATTACTGATTTTTATCTGTGTAATTTATGTACATTTTCACTTAACATACATATGTATGTGTGCCAGCGCGCTAAGTGCCAAAACAAATGCGACTGTACTGCCGCACCGAGGACAGCTGCGTTGCGAAATCGGTGTGTAAATAAAAAACAAAGCGCGCCTGGTACTGAAAATGCGCGACACGCTCCAGTAAATGCGCGAAACACGGGCGCGAGTACAAAACGCTCAGCGCAGGCATGAAGATGCGATGCGCGCCTACCGTTCCAACCCGCTGGAAGTTTGCTGACGTCAATTGCGGTTACATTTTTCCACAATGTCTTTGTGAAACCTTCAAAAACCGTCAGAAAAAAAGATGCTGTCATACGCGTAGCATCAGCGTCGTCACGTACCGTGAGCGCGCACGCCACAATCTTAAGCCAGCGCTAATTACTGCCGCCACAGCGCATTGTTATCTGCCATTCTCACAGCTGATATGCGTGACCACATCACAATTCGCCGCCGCCGCTGGCCCATTCGTTTTAATTGTGCAAAGCGGCATACAGTTGCCGCAAATGCATGGCGGGCGAACGAGCGCGTGCACCCACACACGTTTCCATGAAATGCAATTTTTTGCCCGCAAGCGAACTTGAATGCAATTTCAATGTCATCGTCGCCAGTTCCATTGGCATCGTTCTGTGGCGAGCGCGATCTGTTTATTGGTCAGCGCGACTGCAGCGATGTCATCACTTTCAATTAACGCCTATGGCTGGAGAAATATTTAAAAATTACTCTGCGGCATTGTTGTTAAGTGATTTGCGAGACAGATGTAAGTAAGTAATTGATGCTAAAAAGTCTATGATGACAATGACAATAGCGAATATGTATATTTAGAGATGAGATAAATACTGCAGATGGGTGGGTGCGCTGCATGAACTATTTGGCGAAAATCAAATCGATGCATAAGAGTGGATAAGCGTAGCAGAAAGAGAGGTTAAATTATTTATCTACACAAAGACTCATTACGCATCGTGATCGATAAATGTATAGCCTTTGTTATCGTTATCGATAATCGACATGCCAGTTATCGTTAGTATT